TAACACTACCAGGAAGATTAAATGGCAGCCAGAGGGCCCTGGCCTTGAGGCACCATGAGGCAGCCCAAGCTCCATGAGACCCTGTCTCAAAAAATAGAAATGGCTGCTGGGCAATGGTACTGCACACCTTTAATCCCAGCATCCTGGAGGCCAGGTTGGTTGATCTCTGAGTTCAAGACCTCAAGACCGGCCTAGTTTACAGAGTGCGTTCCAGGACAGTCAGGGCTGTTACACAGAGAAACCCTGTCTTAAAAAAAAAAGAACATTAACACTGAAAATGGTGAATTCTAAGCAAATTTTAACAGTGTTTAGCACCTGTTGAGTACATTAGAGATGGTGGTGGCTCCCCTTCACTACAGCTAAGCTTTGTTTGGCGACAGGCTTTTGTGTAATATATTTAGCCCAAGCTGACATGGAACTTGATTTCGTAGCTGAGTATGACTTTGAACTTCATACTTGAACCCTCAAAGTACTGAGACAGCAGGCTTCTACCACTACAGGCCGAGCCAACACACCTGTTTCCAAGATTCTGGCTGGGGATTGAAGCCAGACCCTCCTGTGTGCTAGGAAAATACCTGGTGAGCCAGACCACCTCCTCCTCCTCCTTCATTCCCCCCCCCCCCTTCTTTTTCCCCCCCCTTTTTTTTTTTTTTTTTTTTTTGGTGCGGAGATTCAACTTGCAACCTTGTGCCTGCTAGGCATGCGCTGTACCACTCACTGAACTACATCCCCAGCCCAAGAACTCAAAGTATTATTTCTTTTAGGTAGGTTTCCCTATGTAGCCTTGGCTGGCCTGGAATTTGCTATGTAGACCTCCCAGGTACTGGGATTACTGATGTGCAACACCTACAACACCATGCCCACTTTTATTATATTATTCTTGCTGTTATCATGTTATTATGCTAGGAACCAAACTCAAGACATTACTTCAAGGCAAGCACTCTACCAGCTTTACATTCCTAGCCCCGAATCTTTCTTTTGCGGGGAAGGATATGAGAGGTGTTGGAAAGAGGTCCTTATGTTGCCCTGGCGGCTGTAAACTCACTGGACAGACCATTTTGGCCTTGAATGTGCTGCTATCTCCAACCTTTGCCTCTTCAGTGCTGGGATTAAAATCCTGGGCTACCCCTACCTAGTTTAGGAAGGTTCTCCTTGGCTGGGCTTGACTCTTCCCTTTAATCCCAACATCCAGTAGTACAGACATCGAGGCAGGTGGAACTATGAGAGTTTGAGGCCAGCCCGGTCTACATATCAAGCACCAGGCCAGTCAGGGACACCCACTGAGACACCCCCAACCCTGCCCCAACCCTCCTCCCTCCACCCCCACAGAGGATAGGATTCTTTTGGTTGCTGTTTTGTTTTTTTGAGACAGGGTTTCTCTATGTAGCCCTGGCTATCCTGGAATTCACTTTGTAGACCAGGCTGGCCTCTCAGAGATCCTCTTGCCTCTCTGCATACCAAGTGTTGTGATTAAAGGTGAGGGCCACCACCACCACCACTACCATTGGTGGATTCCCCTTTTCTTTTTTAAAAAATTATTTTTTATTTTATGTGCTTTGGTGTTTTGCCTGCATGTATGTCTGTTTGACAGCGTCAGATCTTGTAGTTACAGATAGTTGTTAGCTGCCACTTGGGTACTGGGAATTGAACCTGGGTTCTCTAGAAGAGCAGTCAGTGCTCTTAACCACTGAGCCATTTCTCCAGCCCCTGGATTCTTCTCCTACTCCTTCTTCTTTTTTTGTTTGTTTTTCGAGACAGGGTTTCTTTGTATTGCTTTGGAGGCTGTCCGGGAACTAGCACTTATAGACCAGGCTGGCTTCGAACTCATAGAGATCCGCCTGCCTCTGCCTCCCAAGTGCTGGGATTAAAGGCATGTTCCACCAACACCCTGCCTGGATTCTTCTTCTTCTTCTTCTTCTTCTTCTTCTTCTTCTTCTTCTTCTTCTTCTTCTTCTTCTTCTTCTTCTTCTTCTCCTCCTCCTCCTCCTCCTCCTCCTCCTCCTTCTTCTTCTTCTTCTTCTTCTTCTTCCTTCTTTTGGTTTTTTTGAGACTGGGTTTCTCTGTGGCTTTGGAGGCTGTCCTGGAACTAGGTCTTGTAGACCAGGCTGGTCTCGAACTCAGAGAGATCCTCTGCCTCTGCCTCCCAGTGCTGGGATTAAAGGCGTGTGCCACCATCACCTGGCTGTTTTTACTTAGTCTTTAATGAAGTTGTGTATAAGATTCCTCTATTCCCAAATCTTCTCAATCATTTCTTCCCATATTTGCCTTGTGTTTCTTCAAGTCTAAACTTGGCTTTCCTTTCCAGGTTTTCTTCTTCTTCTTTTATTTTCTTTGCCAGCTTTAGCCTAGTGATGTCCACAAGGGGTGGGTGACCACATAGACAGTTGTGCTTAGTCTTTTTTTTTTTTTCCTATACACTCCTTCAGTGTAGATGACATATTTTTTTTTCTTGTACATTTGGAGCACTTCTCCAATCTGCTGGCCTTTGTAGTATCCTGGGACAACCTGAACTTCATCATCTTTTAGAATGGGGATAGATGGAGCATTTCACTTCCATCTCAGCTCTGTGGAAAGGGGCAGGAAGACATGATCATCCCCTGCATGTGAGAAGGGGAACTGAAATGCTGTTTGTGATTCTGGCTGTGATCAGGAGTCACCAAGGGGTTGAACTTCATTTTGGCAGCAGCCAATTCAGATGGGCAAAAAAAGAGAAAAGAGTAGATGCAAAACCAAGAACAATGATGACATCAACAGCAACAAAAACATATCATGAATCTAAGGAAACCAAAACTAAATGCAGAGGAGAGAGGGACAGGCTAAATGAAGAACAAGTAAAATTGGCAGAATGGGGGTGGAGGGGAATCACATAATTCTGTCTGTTTTGTTTCTCTCTTGTTCTTTTAGACAGGGTTTTTCTGTGTAGCTCTGACCAGACTGGCCTCCAGCTCAGAGATCCTCCTGCCTCTGACTCTCAAGTGCTGGGATTAAGGGCATTCACCACTACTACTAGGTTCACCACACCCTCCCCACACACATCCCCCTGGTGTTTTGTTTGTTTGTTTGTTTTGAGACAGGGTTTCTCTGTGTAGCTTTGGAGCCTATCCTGGCACTCGCTCTGGAGACCAGGCTGCCTCGAACTCACAGCAATCTACCTGCCTCTGCCTCCTGAGTGCTGGGATTAAAGGCGTGCACCACCAATGCCCTGCATCCCCGTTTTTTTTCGAGACAAGGTTTCTCTGTGGCTTTGGAGGCTGTCCTGGAACTAGCTCTTGTAGACCAAGCTGGTCTTGAACTCACAGAGATCTGCCTGCCTCTGCCTCCAGAGTGCTGGGATTAAAGGCGTATAACCACCGCCCGGCCATCCCCATGTTTTTTAAAGTTCTAGTTTTTGGTTTTTTTTTTGTTTTTTTTTGTTTTTTTTTTTTTTTTTGGTACTGGTGTTCAGCCTGGATCTCTGGAAGTTACATAGCATATCTTTACTGAGCTACATGTCCAGCTCTCATGTATTTTTTTTTTTCTCTTGTAGCTTGACTGGCCTAGAGTTCCCTATGTAGACCAAGCTGCCTGCTCTGCTTCCCAAGTGAGGGATTAAAGGTCTATGCCACCACACCTGGCCTTTTAGGGTTTTTAAATTAATACCCACAACAATAAATTGTGAGGGAAAGCAAAAGATAAAGAGATAGTGTATAGATTAAGGAAAAATCTAATATACATATCAGCTAATTGCAGTACACAGGGCTGGGTAGTGGTGATGCAGACCTTTAATCCCAGCACTCAAGAGGCAGAGGCAGACCGATCTCTGTGAGTTCAAGGCCAGCCTCACCTACAGAGTGAGTTCCAGGACCAGCTCTATAGCTACAGAGAGAAACCTTGTCTCAAAAAAACAACAAAAACAAAATCACAGTACACAGCCCTTATTTGGATCCTGATTCAAACACATTTTTTAATTTATTTACCAAACTTGTATGGGTATTCTATCTGTGTACCATGTGCATGTTTGGTGTCCTAGGAGGCCAGAAGAGGGTGTTGAATTCCCTCGGACAGGACTTGTATTGGACAGTTGTGAGCCACCGTGTGGATGGGGAGAATTGAAACCCAATGTCAAGATAAGTGCTCTTAACCACCAAGTCGTCGCTCCAAACCCTCCATAGTACATGCTTCAAATCATAACCCTTAGCAAAGTGGAGGCAAGATGATCATGACTTGTGGGTACATTTGTCTACCTACCAAGCTGAGCCACCTGGGCTACAAGAGGCTTGGCTCAAAAACAAAACAACAAAAAAAGGTGTTAAGAAAGAGAAAAATAGCTGGGTGGTGGTGGTGCACACCTTTAATCCCAGTATTCTGGAGGCAGAGGCAGGCGGATTTCTGTGAGTTCGAGACCAGCCTGGTCTACAAGAGCTACTTCCAGGACTACCTCCAAAGCCACAGAGAAACCCTGTCTCGAAAAACCAAAAAATGAATGACTGGATAAATAAGTAAATAAATAAATAAATAAATAAAGGATTAATGGGGAGGGGGCTGTCTTAGGGTTGTATTCTGTAGCCTGGGCTGAGTGGAACTGAACATTTTCCTGGCTCAGTCTCTCCGTGTTTTGTTTTGTGTTTTCGAGACAGGGTTTCTCTGTGTAACAGTCCTGGCTGCCCTGGAACTCACAGAGATCCACCTGCCTCTGCCTTCCAAGTGATGGGATTGAAGGCGTGTGCCACCAAAGTCCGGCCAAAACCCAAATTTGTAAAAAGCGGGCGGGGGCTGGGCTTTGCATTTACTTCTTAATTCAGCAGTGTACAATCAGCTCAGGTCAGTAGAACTGACAAAAAAAAAAAAAAAAAAAAAAAAAAAAAAAAAAAAAAAAGAGGAACAGGTGGAGAGAGGAGGAGGGGAAAGAGCTCATTTGGGCGACAGGAAGTAGGAGGGGACATTTACCTATAAATGAACGTTCAGGTTAGCAGGAATCCTTACTTCTGTTGCTTTTTGTCTTCTCTGTAACCTGTGCAGAAATGTCACTCTCCAGCCAGGACGCCCACGAGCTCTCCCATAATCAGGTAACTTTTCTTTTTATGAGGATTTGTTTTCTCCCTGAATTCTTTCCCTAGTCTTTCTAGGTCTTGGTCTTGTTTCCGGCTTGGGGGAGGAATCAGTTCGGGTTCAAAGCCTCCATCTTGGAATCCGCTTTGCTTGTTACTTTTTTTCCACATGGTCGACACTATGTATTTTCCTGGGAGTAAAATGAAACTGTTTCCTAGATGAAATCGTAACCTGTAAATTTGTCTCAGACAAGAAGTGTTGGTAGCTAATAGCTAATATAAAAATCTCCAAGAAAGGCGAACTAAAATTAGGTGGAAATTTTTTTAAGTGGGAATTTTTGATAAATTTTGATAACATACATTAAAAACATTTATGTGGCCATTCTGTTTTCTAAGGAGAAATAAGCAGTTCCCTGTACCCCGAATGCCAGGTGGGTTTCCCATCTAGGCTTGAGTGATCCTTGGGACCACTGTACCAAGCTAGCAGACAGAACTGGCCAGGCAAACTCACTGCTGCTTTTAGGCTTGGTTGCCAGAGTGAGGTGATGTTCATTTTTCTTGTTGTTGGTTTTGCTTTTTTGTTTCTCAAAAGGTTTCTGTGTTGTCCAGGCTGTCCTGGAACTCTTTGTAGACGAGGGTGGTCTCAAGTTTAGAGATCTTCCTGTTTCTGCCTCGCAAGTGCTAAGATTAAAGGCATGAGCCACCACTGCTTTTTTGTTTGCTTGTTTGTTTTTTGTAACAAAAGTAAATCTGCATCTGGGGTACTTTGAAAAGGTGCTATACAAATGTAAAAAAAAAAAAAATCAGTACTTCAAGTTTGGAAGTAAAGGTGGTGAAGAGGTTTCAATAGAAGGGGAGAGGGGTTTGGCACAAATCTGTAGAATGTTTAGAATTTTCCTCAAGGGGGTGTCACTACTCCACAGTCTTAATTCATTTCTGAGACTGGGTATATCACTTGGCAAAACAGGACAACTGGGATTACTTACCTTCTATAGAAAGTTCTTCCACTATTGCTACACTCCTCCAAGTTCCAGGCATCTTGCTTTGCCAACACTAAAGCACATACGGGAAATAATGAATTCATTAAGCTTGCCTTGAAAAGAAACAGAATCCCTCACTGTTTCTCTTTGCTTAAGTATTTTAAGGAAGAATTTGAAGATGATATAATTTTAACGCTGGTCCCGGCTACTGAGGAGGAGGAGGAGATCACCGGACTACCAACAGAATCAGTTTGGTCAACCATGGATCACAGGCCACCAGGTATTGTCAAGCTTAAGAGTCACAGGGAAAACTGTAGGTGTGAGATGGGTTTCCAGAAAGCCAAGAAAAGTAGACTTAATTTTGTCAGACTTTTAAGTTTTTCACTCTACTGCCTTGGCTGGCCTGGAGCTTTCTATGTAGACAAGGCTGGCCTCAAACTCAAAAATCCCCCACTTCTGCCTCCTTGGTGCTGGCCTTAAAGGATTAAAGGCCTACATTACCAGGCCAGGAAGGTTTATACACCACACAGTTCCTTAAACCTTACTGTAATTCCCCAAGAGAAAACTTCACCTATCTCAGTTCCTAGGCTCTATTTGCTGCCTTAGGTGAGGTGTGGTAGCACACACCTTTAATTCCAGCACATGGGATGCAGAGGCAGGCAGCTAGATCTGAGTTTGAGGCCAGCCTGGTCTACATAAAAAGTTTTAGGATAGCCTGGGTTACTCCAAGAAACCCTGTCTCCAGAGGAAGAAAGAAAAATAAGAAATACACATAGATAGCTCAGCTGTCTAGAATGCATGCTGGCACATGCACATGATCTTAAAAGAAAAACTGTGGGCAGTGGCGGCACAAGCCTTTAGTACCAGTATTTTCGGAGGCAGAGGCAGGGGGATCTCTGAGTTCAAGACCCCCTTGGTCTACAAGAGCTAGTTCCAGGACAGCCACGAGCCACAGAGAAACCCTGTCTCAGAAAACAAACAAAAAAGAAAAAAAGAAAAAAAAAAGCATGGAACTTAGAATGTAAGTGTGAGTTCCTGTCTCAGGGCACCTATTTTAAGGGATGTGTAAAGAGTGTGATCTTGGTCAAGTCAATTCCTCTTTTACAACAGGAAAACAAAAGGCAGCCTTATGTTTGTGAGCAATCACCAATCACCTGGTATTAAATAGTTTTTGCTTTGTCTCTGTTCTAAGTTCCCCCTATGACATCTGAGGTTAGCAAACCGGAAGCAACAAAGCTAAAACCTCGCCACCCGTCTCTGCCGAGCATCCTGCCTCCCATAACAGAGGTGTCCCGGAACACACTGAGGGAATGGTGTCGATTTTGTAACTTGAGCACTGATGGCAAGGTTAGTTAGTGACCTCCCACTGGGATTCTATGCTGTATGGACTAAGTATGTCAGGTTTTAACTATTTTCTCTTAACCTCCTTAGAAGGTGGAGGTCTACCTGAGACTCCAGCAGCACTCATATGCGGACCAACAATGTGTGAGTAATGGATATGGTGTTGGAGTGGGGGTAGGCTCTCCCTGTGGGCTCACTAAATTTCTCTTATGATATATGAGGGACCAAATGTGTAGTTTCCAACCTCCCTTTTTTTTTTCTATTTAACTGTAAGATGGACAGTCTGGATCCATCTGCCTCTGGCTCCTTAGGCTGCCTTACAATCCCCTGTGTGGTTAGGGAGATACTGAGCTCTCAGTCCTGCTTGTAACCTCCCAAATGCCAGGATTAGAGCCACTAACAGTTGGGATTGCAGGCCTGCAGCACTAGGCTCCATTATTTACTGATTTGAATGTAGTCATGTAGGGTTGTTTAGAAGCATCTAAATCCTCTGTCCATTACACAGCAAACCGGGTATTTTAGTTGGGCATGACCCAACTAGGATCCCAGAACTGGGGAGGTGGGGGCAGAAGCATCCGACTTCTTGGTCACATAGTAAGTTAGGCCAGTATAACTGCCTCAATTATCCCATCACTTGGAAGATTGAGACCGGAGGGTGGGCAACAAGTTCAAAGCCAGCCTGGGCTACATTGTGACATTGAACCAAAAAAAGCTGAGTGTGGTGGAGACAGGCCGATTTCTGAGGTACTCAGAGCTAGTTCTAACTACCAATTTTTTCTAGTGTTTGAAAATTGTCTTTTGTACGTGCTCAAGCCAGTGTGAAACTGGCATAACCTCCTTTTTGCAAGAGCAATTTTTTTTTCAAGACAGGCCTTGACCTCAGAGATCGGCCTGCCTCTGCCTCCGGAGTGCTGGGATTAAAGGTGTGAGCTACCAACGCCCAGCTCAAGAGCAATTTTTAAATACTGTTGAATTTCATTTTCAGCTTGTTCCCACAAACTCCCTTGAGGCCAAAATGAAGCCAAAATCTAAGATGGTCAAAAAAGAACCTACCAAGATAACCATTAAAGGACTTAGGCCTCAGGATACCGGCATTGTGGAAGTCATGACTCCAGGAAGGCAATCCATACTTGCTGCCTGGGGCAGAATTACTAACAGAGCTACTCTGCCTATGGTTGCCAATCGCCAACCTCTTCCCTCCAATGTGAAGGCCTTTCTGCCACCAGCCCCGGGTAAGACCAACTGCAAGGTGTGACTTCTACTCTTCAGAAGCCATGCTTAGTTAACATCAATGTGAGATAGAAGGACTTAAAACCTGAAAGTCTGAAGACTAGCCAGGGAGGGTGGTGCATACATGTGATCCCAGCACTTGGGAGGTGGAGTCTGGTGGGTCAGCAGTCCAAGGTGATCCTTCACAGGTAAGTTCAATCAAGACCAACCTGGGTAATCAAAGACTACTTCTCAAAGAAGCAAAACTAGATCAGTTCTCAGCCTCAGCCTTCCTAATGTGTTATTTTCATTGCTAATTACTTCATAATGGCAATTCTACCTTTTTTTTTTTTTGGTATTTTTTTTTTTGGTTTTTCGAGACAGGGTTTCTCTGGCTTTGGAGGCTGTCCTGGAACTAGCTGTTGTAGACCATGCTGGTCTCAAACTCACAGAGATCTGCCTGCCTCTGCCTCTCAACTGCTGGGATTAAAGGCATGCACCACCACCATCCAGCTTGCAATTCTACTTTTATAAATATTTTTGCCAAAGGGGTTGTGACCCACAAGTGGAGAACCACTGCTGTAGATGATAAATTTGACTCACATAGAACTTCATCTTTTCCTCTTGATGAATAACAAAGTCTTATTTGGATTAATGACACTGTCAAGTTGCTAAATAGGGAAACTTAATCTAATAATGTACTTGTCAGCCTGAATAAGGTCTACTTGTCTCCTTCTTGCGTTCTTAGGTATTGAGAAAGGTAGCTCAGTCAGTAGAGTCTGGTGTGTTTGAAGCCCTGAATTAACATCCCTATCACCATGGAAAACTTGACTTTGTGGTGTGCACCTGTAATCTTAGCACATGGGAGGCTAATCTTTGCACTGAGGCCGGTTTCTAATGAGGTCTGACCAATGAAGGCTGCATAGGGAGACTTTGTTTAGAAAGAGATGGGTGGCTAAATAGTGAATACATTCTTACATGTATATAGCTGTACAGCTAGCAAAGATTTTTCTTGTGTTTTGTAGGCTGTGGCTGTCTTTTCAGGCTTTGTTTCCTTTGTTATACAGAATGAATCCTATTGATAAAATTTTTGGTATTTCCAAAAGTATGTAGAGTCCTATTCAGAAAGCTATTCCCTATTGCTATCTTTTAAAGTCTTCCTTTTCTTAAGGGTCAGGTCTTGTGTTAATGTTTTCCGTTTAGAGATGATTTTTGTGAGTGAGGCGGGCCTTCTACATCTGACCATCTTTTTTTTCAGCAATGCATATTTCTTTTCCAATGCATATTTGTGACTGTCAAAATCTGGCTGTAGCTTCTTGAGTTTGTTATGTCAGGGTCCTCTATTATGTGCCAGGACCATGCCACCTTAGTTAACGTGATTCTAGTGTTATCTTTTTTTTTTTTTATTTATTTAACCTTTATATGCATTGGGGTGAAGGTATCAGATCTCCTGGAACTAGAGTTACAGACAGTTGTAAGCTTCAATGTGGGTGCTGGGAAATGAACCTGGGTCCAGTTAACATTGGTTGTTGCTGCTCAGGCTTGCATTGGGTCTCCAAGTTTCTTCTTGTTCCCACATGATTTTTTGAATTTTTTTCTGTTTCTGTGAAGAATGACTGAAAAATTTGGGCAGTATATTGAATCTCTCATTTGCTTTTGGTAAGAGCCACTTTTACAATATTCCAATCTTAAGGTCATGGTGGGGGTCACAGCTTTTAGGATCTTCTCCAATTTCTTTCAGACTTATAGAGGTCTTCCACTTTCTTGGCTATGTTTATTCCAAAGCATGTATGTATGTATGCATGTATGCATTTGAGGCAATTTTGTGTATGGAATTTTATTACCCCTGATTTACCAGTCATGGATCCTTTAAATCAGATCAGTACAATGCAGTTAAAGGTAAGTGGGCTGTATGATTCATTGGGGGAAAAGGTATTTACTATTTAGGTATTTGCTCCCTCCCCTGTAGGAAAAACAAGGGTTTGGGCAGCTTGGCTCAGTGGTAGAAGTCTTGCTGGATTTAATCTCTAGTATTGGAAAGAAAAAAAAGTAGAATACAAGTAACTGTTAATATGTCAACCATTTAGCAAAATCTTAAACACAAAGCATTCTGCAAGATGCCGACATAATTTGTGGTTAGAAAATCATCTGGCCCGTTTTCCATGCATCTCACTCAATTTAGTTTGTTTTTTAAATCTTATGTGCTCATTTGTCTGTGGGAGGGTGTTGGGTCCCCTGGAACTGGAGTTTTAGACAGTTATGAGCTGCCATGTGGGTGCTGGGAATCAAACCCTGGTCCTCTGGAAGAGTAGCCAGTACTCATAACCACTGAGCCATGTCTCCAGCCCAAGAATTGTTATCTTTCATTTGTTTGTTTTCAAGACAGGGTTTGCTCTGTATCTTTGGACCATATCCAGGCACTGTAGGCCAGGCTAACATCTGGAGTGTTGGGATTACACCAACGGGCCTTTGTTTAATACTTAAATTTCCCTGGGCACATTATGTTTTGAAGGTTTATAAGCTATCAGAAAGAAATGCATTAGAGTTTTAGCAGACCATAAGATAGCAAATTCAAGAGTAGCTTACTGAGGTCATGGATTATTGTTTTGACCTTCTATTTGCTTGTTCCTATTCCACAGGAGTCAGGTGGTGTGTTGTGGAAGGCAAAGTGCTCCCTGCAAATAAGACTGGCTGGGTGCGTCTGCAGATGAAAACTGGTCAAACCTGGGTTCCAGACAGTCCCCAAAGAATGATCCTACTCTTTCTATTACCAGCATGTGTCTTACCAGAGCCAGGAGTAGAAGATAACTTGTTGTGTCCAGAATGTGTGGAAAGGTAACCCCCAAGGATCTCTCTAGGCATGGGCAACTGAAAAATAACTATAGATGAGTTTCTGAATAACCAAATAGAAACCAGAGAGCTAAACACCCCAGACAGGGCTTCTGTGTAGCTTTGGAACCTGTCTTGGAATTCTCTGTAGACAAGACTGCCTCCCCTTGGTGATGGGATTAAAGGTGTGTGCCACCACACCTAGCCTGGACTTGTCCCCCAGCACCTTTTTACAGCTCTCTAACTTTTCTCTTACAGAAATAGGAAATTAATGAGGAATTTTAAGAGAGACAAACGCAACAAAAAGAAACACAAAATTCTACCTTCAAATTTGCCACCTTGACCGATGTTTTGGAACAGAACGGATCATCCCTGCATTGGACTTACTCAATGCTATCTTATTCATGGCGTCCAGAGAACAATTTTGATGCAAAGATGCTCTCCCCACTCTGTTTTATTTATTTTTTTTTTCGGGACAGGGTTTCTCTGGCTTTGGACGCTGTCCTGGAACTAGTTCTTATAGAACTGCCTCTGCCTCACGAGTGCTGGGGTTAAACGCATGTGCCACCACTGCCTGACACAAAGATGTCTTATAACAAAAATCTCTGTGTTAAAGTAACTCAAGTTTCCTAATTTGAAGAAAGCGCCTAACTGAACTTTAGAGAATCTGAAAAAAGTTCCTCACAGTGATGGTTCAAGAACTCAAGGAGTTTTTTCTCTCATTTAAAGCATAAATTAAAGCTAGTCTGTGAACTACATCACTGGCTCTCTGTACTGACTTTAAATTTCTGGGTTTTAATTTGTATTAAAGGTGTGCAGATGTTTTTCCTTGAACAATCCAGTTCATTGTCTACTTATACAGCGGTATTGTACTAAGCACCACACATAGAGCTAGGCATGGTACATGGGAGATCTGAGTTCCAGGCTGAAGTCCTATCTCAGAAGGGAAAAAGGGGGAAGGGGATACTAAATGGTTGTATACTAATGGTTGTATCAGTGCAAGTGTATGGGGGCTATCCTGGAGCTAACAGATACTCAAGCATCTTAACGAAAAACAGCATACAAAGTAAAGTGTTTTATGATCGAATTTTCACTCCTAATATCATGTGCAAGTCTCCATGTATGTACAGGTACTATGGAGGCCAGAGAATGTTGGAGCCCCTGAAGTTAGAGGCAGTTGAGAGGTGCTTAGTGTAGGTAGACAGCCAAACTCTGGAAGAGGAGCAAATGTTATAATTAACTGCTTTTAAGCTGGCTCTTCACCCCCCACCCTAGACAGGCAAGCATGGGGAATGGTTTAGCAACCTGGGACAACACTTATTTTGGGCTACACGTACTCTTTTAATAATGCACTTGACAGCCTAGGACCCTCTCCTGCATGTATTATGAGCACACACCCCTTTCTGAACAATGTACCTAGCAATGTGTTAGCAATCTGGAATATCCTACCACCTGAGGGTGTGTGTGTGTGTGTCTGTGTGTGTGTGTGTGTGTGTAAAAGGAACAACTTAGGGCAGATTCTCCCTTCAACAGCACAAGAACTGGAGGTCAAATTTTAGTCATTCTTGGCAGAATGCTTTTATTCACTGGAGCATCTGACAAGCCCCATTTTTGTTTAGAAGCATAGCTTTCCATTTGTGTTCTCGTTTCCTTTGTCCTTTGATTTGTGGGACCTCTAGGCTGTTTCCATCCCCCAGCTATTGTGATTAGTGTGGCAGTAAACAGGGATGTACCGGTGCCTCTGGTTTATTGACATAAAACAGTTCAGGTATGTATTCAGAAGTGGCACACCTCAGTCACATGATAGATACTGTTTTGAGTTTAAGGACCCTCCATAGTGACACAGACTGACATTTTCCACCAGCCCTTTCCCTGCACTCCCTTGCGTTGTCATTTTTCTTCTGGCTGGTAACCATTCCAACTGTGATGAGTTGGAACCTCAGTTTATTCTAATTTACATTGGTGAACTGTTTCAAGAATTTATTATTGGGCCATGTGTTGGTGCACACCTTTAGTCCCAGCACCTGGGAGGCAGAGGCAGGCGGATCTCTAAGTTTGAAACCAGCCTGGTCTACAAGAGCTAGTTCCAGGACAGCCTCCAAAGCCACAGAGAAACCCTGTCTCAAAACAACAACAACAAAAAAAACTTATTGGAAATATGACTGTAAGGCTTTTCATTGTAATTTAACTTTGCATTAGAAATATCACTATCGACGGGCGTTGGTGGCGCATCCCTTTAATCCCAGCACTGGGGAGGCAGAGGCAGGCCGATCTCAGCCTGAGTTTGATGCCAGCCTAGTCTACACAGACACCGTACAGAAAAAAAAAAAAAAAAAAAAAAAAAAAAAAAAAAAAAAAGAAAAAAGAAAAAAAGAAAGAAATATCAATATCACTTGCTTTTCAGTAGTGTATTTCATCAAGACAGTGATTATACTGGTGTGTTTCATGGTGTCCAACTAAGTTAATATCTAATTCATATTCCACAGAGGATTCTACAAAAGAGATCTATGGATGCAGTTATCCCTTTACTCATAATTTTGATAGCATATCTAAGAAATTAGAGTTTTCTTACCCTAAACCACATGGTCCTCTGTTCCCTCAGCTATTTCCTGCCTCAACTTCTATTTTCTCCAAGTGATTATTCAAAGGGTAATTCTATTTCCAGCTGAGCATAGTGGCTAATGCCTGTAATTTTAGCACTTGGGAGGTGAGGCAGGAGAATTACTGTGAGTTTCAAGCTAGATTGGGCTACAGTGAGATCCTACCCCCAACTGATAAGCCTCACTGCGCCCAAATGATAATTCTATTCTGGAATGCTCTCTCTGGAATGAGTAAATAGCTTCTTTTGGCAGGGTGTTTATTAAATATATCTTAATGTAGGGTTAAGCATGAAGGTTAAGAAAAAAGAGGGATTAGAAAGAATAGAAGACACCTGAGAGCATGAGTGTGGATGCCTCTGATAGAATCTCACAAAATTGCTTCTGATCCTTCTGCCTCCCTTTCCTGAGTGCAAAGTCCTAGGATTCATGTGTGAGCCAGCACACCTAGTGATGTCTGTGGTGATGGAGATCCCACCCACCATGGCGTTGTGCATGGAAGCCAAGCCTACTGATACCTAAGTTACATCACCAGTACTCCCAGCTCCATCTTTCTCCTCCTTGACATCTCAATAATATGGCTTTTCATGACCTTTTAAATAGGACACCATTTTTAAAAATATTGTCTTTGAAACACATAGATTCCTTTGCTTATTTAATTTTCTCATTTCAAAAGCTGCCTCAAGTTTGACATGGTGGAGCATGCCTGTAAGCCCTGCACACAGGAGGTAGAGGTATGAGGTTAGGACATCAAGGCTGACTACACAGGAAATTCCAGGCCTGTCTAGACTACTGGAGACAAAAAAAAGAAAAGTGCTTTCAGCTGGTCTAGTGGTACACACTTGCAATCACAACATTTGGGAAACAGAGGCAGGAGAATAGCCATGAGTTAAAGGCCAGACTGGGCTCTGTATTGAGACCTTTTCTCAAAAATGCAAGCAAACTAAAAAACAAGTTGAGCCAAGTAAAGCCTGTATTCAGTTCTTACAATGCCACTCTCATTTTTCTAGGGCTATGGCCTGGCAAAGATGTTTCCAAGAAAGAAAGAAAAACAACCATCATCCTTACATTTTAATCTTTTGTCCTTTTATTGAAAATAGGCTTTTTTTTTTGTCACATAAGATGTCATGATTGTGGTTACCCCTTCCTCTACCTCTCCCAGTCCCTTCCCCCCCCTCCCCCAATGCTTGACATAGAATCTTGTTCTGAAGCCCTGGCTAGCCTAAAAACACCATGTGGACAGACTGGCCTCAGACTTCTGAGATCCTTCTACCTCCCTGAAGGCATTACAAGTATGTGCCATAAGGCCCCGTTTACTATTCACTTTTTAAAATGCCAGTGGTCTGATATCCTCTAAGAAATGCTCTGTAGTAGTTTTGAGGAAATATGACCAGGACTACCTACGATGAACATTTTCTATTCATATCTGGTGACGGTCTCGGAGTGATAAAAAAGCAAACAAAAGTCTGTACTGTTTCTTCTTTTTTTTTTTTTTAGATTTTTTATTTATTTACTGTGTATACATACATTCTGCTTCCATGTATATCTGCACACCAGAAGAGGGCACCAGACCTCATAATGGATGGTTGTGAGCCACCATGGAGTTGCTAGGAATTGAACTCAGGACCTCTGGAAGAACAGCTGGTGCTCTTAACCTCTGAGCCATCTCTCCAGCCCTGTACTGTTTCTTATGCCAACAGGAGCTTAGGAACACCACACGGGTTCAGGTGTCTGTGAAGGCTAAAGAATGCTCTGGAAATACTGGAGCTGGAGTCACAGGCTACTGTGAGGCACCATGTAGGCGCTGGGAAAGAAACCTGGGGCTGCTGCGAACGCTTAAGGGCTTAACTTGCATATGAAAAGGGGTAAGGAGGACAAAGGGAGAGGAGGATGGGAATGAAGCTGGAGAAACCACAACAGCAAAGTTTGTTTGAGAAATGCCACAATACAACTTAATTTCTTGTAAGCTAATTAAAAACAACAACAAACAAAAACCCCAAACCAACTATAGCCATATTCTTCAGCTCTCTTGTAAGTATGCCAGAACCAAACCTCTGTTGTTGGAATGTTGAGTGATGTGGGCATTTATTTTATTTTTAAGGATTTTATTTATTTTATTTATTATGTATACAACATTTTGCTTCCATATATATCTGCACACCAGAAGAGGCACCAGATCTCATAACCGATGATTGTGAGCCACCATGTGGTTGCTGGGAATTGAACTCAGGACCTCTGGAAAAGCAGCCAGTGCTCTTAACCTCTAAGCCATCTTTCCAGCCCCAACATGGGCATTTATATACAGTTTTGTGATTTATTAAGTCCCTTGGTATCCATATATGGTTATAATTCCCTAATTTTAACTCAGTTTGTTTTGTTTTTTGAGACAAGGTTTCTCCGTGTATCCCTGGCTGTCCTGGAAATTGCTCTGTAGAACAGACTGGTCTTGAACTCAGAAATCTGCCTGCTTCTGCCTCCCAAGTACCACTGCCTGGCTTTATTTTATTTTATTTTATTATTTTATTTTATTATTTTTTCCAGAGATAGGGTCTAACTC